CCACATGCAAGCCAAGAATACGCTGAATCAAAGGTAAAAAAAGAAAATATATCTCTTTTATTTCTTTTTCGAAATGCTCTACAAGTGTTCGGACTCTCTTTGCGTTTGCTATTGTGAACTTGTGTGTGTGTTTGTCACGTAGTAATCTCTCTCTGATTGAGTGAATCCGTCCCTTACAACGAGTTTGATTACACTTATTTATACTGGGAAAAAAACCTATTTTTAGATTACATATTTGAGTCCTAACCATATTGGTCTTTGTTGTTTGCACGTTTCTTGACTTGATTTGTTGGTTTGTTGCCGAGGAAACCGGCGTTGGGGATGTGGAGCAAAACGTGCGGCGCGGGGGGACCTTGAGCGAAGGAGGCGGCACGCTAGGGTTTCTGGAAACCCTAGTCCTCGAACGATGCTGAGAGATTGGGAGATTAGGGTTCACTTGGGTCATGTGTTCTAGGTCACTACTGGACCATTGTAAGACGGGCTGCTGGGCCACAATTTTATTTGTTCCTTGTAATGGATCTTGCAATGTACCTGTACACGTAAAATAATAACAAAATAAATAATATGTTATATGTTATATATATACAAATATATATGTAACACATGAACGGATGAAATGGGGTGTCTACAATATGAATGGATCAAACTTAAAAATTTTGCAGTCCAGAAGCAAGTTATTCCTCCTCTAAAACAAAAATATAAAATTCTTTCTCTAGGTCCATAACAAATATTCCATCAACCATAATTTGATTTCTCTTTTAAAAGACACCAATATGACCATTACGCCATGCATGAGCCTTCATTTGCAACAAGAGGACAAACACAGATGCCCAAAATCATCTAGCAGATCATAAACACGGGACCACAATAAATTCTGTTCAATAGTATTTTATTGAAGATGAATATTCTTGAAAAGCAAAAGATGTTCTTAACAACATAAACCAAAGCTACTTACTCTGGGCAGTTCCAATCTCCTTTCTTCATTTGAACGACATCCGTTTCAACCTTATTAGGACCCACTGCTTTACACCTTAAGCACCGTGTATTTCTAGAGAAGTTCATGAAATTGCACCTACAACATATAAAAGCAATAATAGTCAAGGTGGAATCAATAAATAGTCTGACCGTTGTCAAAAAAATAATTCCCACCTATTGTAGTAGATCGTAAATTAACCATAAGCACCGCAAGTCAAACTTTTTAACCAACCAACTAACCATAATATAAAGATATTTGAGACTGTATTCATTCATTTCAACATACGTGATGTGGTTACGAAGAAAAACAACAGTAATCAAAAGAAACAAGACTAAACAAATGAGTAGGAAAGGAGATGGAACTCAAGAAAAACTTGGGTCAAAAAAACCCTCTAATTTTTTTTTTTAATTCAAAGAAAGTAATAATGATAAGTTGTGGTTGTAATATTTTTACAGCTTATTTATACTAGGGTTACAAATATAATTTAATATTAGCCCTAGATTTAATAAAGGAAACTTATAATACTAGCCATCCCAAATACTTCTAATTTTAATGCAACTAAAATAAATAAATATTTATTATAATATAAATTCTTGTGTCAATATGTCATTCGGACAAATTTGTAAATATATTAAGTAAATTTTCTCATTATTATGAAATCTCTTAACCAACAAAGAGGAAGTACATAACAATGTACTATAATATAAAACGACTTTCTCACCCATTGAGCACTGAACGAGCAACCAGTATACTTAGAAAGCGTTAAATGATAGATGATGACAGATAAGAAGATAAATGAGAACTTACTGCGAACAAATCCAATCTCCTTTCTTCATCTCAATTTCATCACCACGAACATTTTTAGGGCCATTTTCTTTACATTTTAGGCATTGCAGATTTTTAGAGAAGTTTAAAAAATTACACCTGCAATTAACAAGCAAAATGTCTTATAACTATGAAATTGTATGTAGGGATTTCATTAATAAAAAAAAGTATGTCGGGATTTCAGAATGCAAATTCATAGGTGAATAAAATTTGTAACCATTTACTTTCTGTTCAACAAGATCACGAGCAATAACCTCAACAGCAACTATGCTTCATAAAAAAAAAAAACTTACTTGGGACACATCCAATCTCCTCTCTTCATTTCAACATTTGTAAACTCTTCATCATCATTGCCAGTGACTGGGAGGAGCTTTAGCAAGAGATTTAAGAAGCTCAGCATTGCATGATGTGTCACTCAATTTTGTCAAGTCTGAAAGTGGATTCCTTGCAGATGCATCAATACGCTCTCTACCAGGAAGTTTCCCTTCCTCGGAAATAACAAGGGGATCAAGGGCATAGGATAATAATAAGCGCACAATGTCCACAGTACGGGCAGTTGCTTCTGCTTCCTTTAGTGTCACGTAAGCTCTATCACAAGAACCACGCAGATTGCAAGCACTACAAACCTGCAGAAAAATGCTTCAGTCTGGCATCACTCTAGGTCGGTTTTCCATGAACAGGAGTCCTCAAAAAACAAATAAATTAAACAACCAAAGATATAGCATATGAAGAGCATATTTCGTTCATAGTGAAATAAACGGTTAAAGATAAAGAATTTGATGCTAAGGGAAAACAGCATACATCCCCTTCATCGAGCTGAACATGGGCTCTCAACCTTTTAGCTGAATTAACGGGCTTCCATAAAAGATTAGAACATCCACTTCCAACAACCGTTTCAATATCATCAGTAGACAACAATCTGCATTAAATGGAACCGTGATAGTCAAATTTATGACCATATTGATTATATATAAATTTACTGAAACAGAACAGATAATCTGCATTGCCCCTTACGAATCATCAGAATTATAATTTCTTTTAACTTTCCAGGCATGTAAGCATAGTACTAGTATTTAGAAGGGCGGAAATGCAAAGATAGCTTTTGTATTTACATTCAACCAATTGAATATTAATTTTAATCAAATATATAATTTTACACGTGTTAGTAAAGACCGTTTTAAGAGGTCAATCCAAATAACCAAAAAAAAAGATTGAGAAAACAAGAAGCAAAAAGAACTTAAGAGTTAACTTGTAGGAGAAATGGAAGTGGCAATAAGCTAATTGCAGCAAAGCCAAAAGAGAAAGAACTCGTTACTTGAAATGATCGAAACGGTCGCGAGAAAAGCAGATGCAAGCGTCTTTGACAAAATTCATGTCTTTATATTCATTGGCAGAATCGGAAGCGGCAGAATTATTAGCTTCAACAAAGTAACCCTTGGACTTTAACCTGTTAATGAAAGTGACCCATTCGGGTCAGGGATGGGATTGGGGAGCCGAATCGAGAGGCTCAGCGGCGGCGCTGTTGGAATTAAGCGTGTCGAGGGCGGCAGCAGAGGAAATGTAGCGGCGGGAAAGGGCGAGGAGGAAAAAGAAAGAAAGAAGGGTTTGCGAGCACGGATGAGGGAGGAGCTGAACAGCAAGAAAGTTGAAGCTGCCATTTTCTTTGGTAGACTGCAATTTAAAGAAGATGAGAGGAAATTTTGTAATGTGGCCATCGAAATGAAAGCTGTTCCGAAAACTTCGATTTTCTTAGGGTTTTAGATAAAGAAATTAACTGAAACAGGGTTATAGTAGGCTAAAACATTTTTTTTAAAAAAATATTTTCCTATTTTTCAGTACTGGTTAGAATAAAATTAATTAGTCAACGTTAAATATTTTATTGGTCAATAAAATTTTTCTAGTGTTTTTTAGAAAATGATTTACAATTTAATTTTTTGTAAGTACTTAAAATAATTTTATTTTATAAATTTAATATTAATAAAATATTTTAATAACATTTTAAGTAAAATATTTATTATTAAAATATTTAAAATATATTTATTAATATTTCTAATAATATAATATTTTATTTTTAATATTATAGTAAAATAATCAATTATATTATAATAATATAAGATATTATATTTTTATTTTAATAATATATAATAAATTATTAATAAAATTTATATTATTTATTAATTTCATAGAAATAAATTATTAATAATGAATAATATTATTTATATATTTAATATTAATATAATAATCTAATAATATTTTAATAAAGATATTTAAAATATAATAATTAATATTTGTATAACACTATTACTTTAATAAATAATTAATATAATTTATAATATTTTTATTTCAATAAAATATACCAATATTAATACTTTTATTAATAAAAATATAAAAATAATATTTTAAAAATAAATAAATTATTTTAATATTTTAAATATAATAATATTAAGTTTATGATAAATAATATTATTTATTGTATTTAATATTTTTAATAAATAATTTTTTTTAAAAAAAATCATCTGAAAAAAGGGTTTAAACAATATCTTCCAAACATCGTAAAACGTTTTTCAGAAAATATGTTTTAAAAAAAGTAATTCATTTTACAGAAAATATTTTCCGGAAAATGTTTTCAGTGAAACAAACGGACTCTTAGTGTGATTTTATTAAATTTGCTAATCATTAAAAACCTAAATTCAATTTAATTAAAAAACTTATTTCATTTAATTTTATTCTTAATTTAAATTTACAAATATATTTAATTGTAATTTAAATTGATTGAAGTAAATTATTGATCAAAATAGTCATTTTGAATAAATAAATGAAATATATGTTAATTTAAATTAAATAATCAATTAAAAACTTTAATATAAATTAAACCTCACAATTAAAATTAAACACAAAAAATTATATTTATCATTATATCTTTTATTTTGACGCATTAATTTAAACACGATAATATAATATTTTTTTATTGTTTTCGTAATATTAACTTTTTTTTCTTTTATATAAAAAATATGACACCTTATCACATAGTAAAAGCTTGAATTTTAAACACTAGAAGAAGAAGAAAATGAGTATACCGAATGCACAATTAAACAAGTAAATGAACACCACACGCACGTAACTCACTAGACTCAGTACTAAATCCCTTAGAGGAAGTAGAAATCTCAAATACAGCGGCCTCATCCATGCACTACCAAATATCCTCAGAACCCACCCTAACCCTCGCGTCTCCCTCTCTCTCTCTCTCTTTTATTTTATCGTAATCGTTTTCGTTTCTTTTCCCATTAAAAATTTATAGGGCCTGACGGCGGCCCCCATGGCATCTCACGCCGCCAATCTCTGGGTGCTGCTAAGTTTGGGTTTAGCTGGGATTTTGCTTGTAACCAAAAAGCTTAAGAAAACCATTAAAGCTGACTTTGGGGCTTTTATTCAGAAGCTAGAGCTGCTTCCGCCTCCTCAGCCTGCTCCTCCTAAAGCTCCCCACCCTCTCACCGGTCTCAGTTTCGCCGTCTCTGACGTGTATGCTGTTTTCCCCTCTTTATGTCTTTGTGCCTGTTGTGGTTTTGGGCTAGTGGAAACTAATCAATTTATTTCTTCTTATTTTATTGCCACTGTTAATCGAGGAGTGATGGGAATCGGAAATTAATGTAACTTATTTTATTTTTTGTTTAGTTGTCACTGTTGACTGCTGCATTTATTTTCTCACATAAGTGATTAAGGCTAATGCTAAATATGTATGGCATCTATATTCTTTAAGGAAAAAAAGAAATTAAAATTGTTTTTGGGGTAGTTTTGCTTTATGGTTTCAGCTGCCAATAGAGGGCCGTAGGGTCGTTGAACTTAGTGGAGTGTAAACTATTTCCTTTTTGTTCGTTACTAATTCAGTTTTGTCAAGCTATCTTTCTCTTTATACTAGAAAGACGCTGTCATTTGAATTCATGAACCTTAATAAAGGTTTCTTTCTTTCTTTTATACATGCTTTGGTTTTAGGAATGTATATAGAACGGTTTGTAATACATATATATATATATAAACTAATGAATTTGAAAAATGGATTATTAAAAATGAAAAAAATTCTTATTTTAATCAAAACATTATTTTTTTAAACAGTTCAATTTGGATGTTTATGTCTACATGTGACTTTGTGAGGAAGTAAAGGAATAGCCTAAATGTTATTTTCTCTGCTATCGTGAATATTTATGAACTTGTTAAAGGTAACTTATTTCAGAGCTTTGGTTTGCAATTTGTTATTCAGTTCAATTTTCTGGTATACTCCTTGTTTAAGATTTTAGTTGTCTCTTCGGGTTATCTATGTGAGACACACATGTGGGATTAGTTTGCTCGTTCATATTTTCAATATTGTATTTATCGATATCTACATGGCTTCTAATGGCTGATATATAATTCACTTCTCAGATTTGATATTGAAGGATATGTGACTGGGTTTGGCCATCCAGACTGGTTGAGGACACATGAAGCATCTTCTCGCACATCTCCTGTGGTTTTGGCCCTTGTTGAAGGGGGTGCCACTTGTGTTGGGAAGACTGTTGTGGATGAACTGGCATACAGGTACTTGCTGTTGCAAACTGTTTACCTGAACAGCAGGCTTTAGGCTTAGTGGTTTACAACAATGTGTACTGTAGGAATTAAGAGAAATGGATGTAAAGGAAAGAGAAAAGGAGCGAGAGTTTAGAGGGAATGGTTACTTGTTAATTTTTTAATATAAGATAGAGTTACACTTATTTTGACATTTTATTTACCAGACAAGGTTGTAACGTTCTCCCTTCTCTTTCCCTCTTATATTGCAAGTGGAGCCAAATCCTTTCCTCTATATTTTATCAGCTATAAGACTCAAGGAATATGTGGCGCCGTATATACTAAAGTTGGAAATCCATCTTGTTTTTGGAAGAAGTCATCAGACGCAATTTAATATTTTGGCTCTTAAGATTTGCAAAATGCTAGCTTTCTTTTGCATGTTTGATTTTCAGTATCCATGGAGAGAATAAGCACTATAGCACACCAACCAATCCGGCTGCACCTGCACGCATTCCAGGTGGATCCTCTAGTGGAGCGGCTGTTGCTGTTGCTGCTAATTTTGTGGACTTCTCCTTGGGTGAGCTTTGTACCTCTAACTGCTTTATTTTCTTACAAGTAGCAATCTTTGGGATTATAATATTGCTATTGAATGGAAGTTTGATTTTCATAAAGCATCAGTTTGATCAAACATGATGAGATATTTGTGATTCTGTATAATATAATATTTTAGAAAATCCTTCATAAAATTGGCTCAAATTTTTCATATAACATTCTGTGAGTAGGAATTGATACCCTAGGCGGTGTGAGGGTACCTGCAGCATTTTGTGGTGTTATTGGATTCCGACCCTCGTATGGTGTTATTTCTAACACTGGAAATATACCTGTTTCATCAAGCCTCGATACGGTTGGTAAGTATGAAGGATTATCAAATGATGTGTTATGCAATACAAAATTTTAGATGTTGCTGTATGGCATAAGGGGATTTACCGTTATCTTGACTTGAGTGTCATTAAAAGTGGTTATGATTTGATTCAAGTTTCTTAGATTATTTCCTTGTACAAAAGAAGCTTCATAACATGCTCAAGTTGTTTTTCCATATTTTGATTTGAGTGTCATGAAAGCAATTTTCTTTGCTTTCTGTTGTTTTCCTCTGAACTTAGTAGGAAAAGAAGGAATTTTTTAATGTATATATGCTTGTTAAATGATAATGTTTCTAACTAATTCAAGAACCTAAATTTTTTTGTTAGGATAATTATAAACTTGTATATCCTTGTTTCTTCCCTTTTTCCCCCCTGAAAAATGGATTTTAAGATCCAAGCATGGATTTAAAAAGAAGATAAGAACTAAACTTTTTGACTGCAAAAATAGTTGGTGAATGAGTTGTTTGAAGATTTTAATGTCACTGATTGCTACATTTGAAGATTATAGTGGTATTTGAAAATTAAACACACACACACACACAGAGTTATAAGGTTATGGAATGACTGAATTATTCAAGCCTTTCCTTTCCTCCCATCTTTTCTCCAAATTGGGGTAATTGGAAAATTAGGAGTGCTCAACCCCACTCCCTTTCCATTAATTTAAGGAATAACTAAGCAAGGCGTAGTTTCTTTGGTCACTTGCCTATTCCTTTCCCTCATCTTCCCACAATCCAAGCATAGTGTTCTTTGTACATCACATAGCTGAATTTAGGCTCTTAGCAGAGATGTATTAGGTGATGATCGCATATCGTATGATTAATCAATATCAATCTGTCATTTGCTGATTGGGCACTGTATTTTCTTTTGCGCTTCTATTCTCTTTAATTTAATTTTCATGTTTCTACTTTTCTTGTGATTTAGATAACCAGAATCTTGTCACTATTCTATTCTACACTTGTTCAACTTTATTATATTTGGCCTGTGAAACTACTATTGCAGGATTGTTTGCTAAGGATCCTAATGTTCTACGTCGAGTTGGGCTTGTGCTCTTGCAACTTCCATATTCCGTTCAATGCAATCCTAAGCAAATTGTATTAACTGATGATTGTTTTCAACTGCTAAAGATTCCAGCAGACAGAGTTTCACGAGTGGTGATTAATTCCACTGAGAAGCATTTTGGAAGTATGTTAAAGAGCTTATGTAAATTAATTTGTTCTGTTTTGTTGTTTACAGCTGAATGAAAAGTGATAACTTTATTTTATGTTAGGACAAGGTTTGAAGCATGAAAATCTTGAGAAGTACTTCAGTTCTAAGGTCCCAAGCTTGAAGGAGTTCTGTAGCCTGAAAAGAAATGGTGATTCAGAAATTTCATCCTTAAGGTTGCTTGCAAATGTGGCGCAGTTTCTTCAAAGGTGATATTTCATCCTATTGGTGTATGTGCACGTGTTAACATTTGGTGTCATTTCCTACGCTGAAGGATTTGCCTTTTTTCTCTCCTAGTTTTCCCCATAAGTGTGCAATACTTTATGGTTTACATTCTTCTGCAGTTTGTTGTGTGATTTTCTGAACACCTTCCCCTTCCATTTTTTCGTTTTACTAATTTTGACTTGAACCATGAAGTAAGAATTTTTTTGGTGGGGGGAGTTAGGACATTTAGCATTTATGGAATTTTGACGTGCCAATTGGTGTCTTCTCTGTGATTGCTGTTGAATATTGTAAGTGCACGGGATCTATTGGTTGCTGTAACTGATCTATCTGGTAGTCTTTAATGAGGCTATTGTAGCTCTTTGTTTAATACCATTGGAGTGTTTGGCTTGATTGATATTTTTTTGTACGCTTTCTTAATTTAGATATGAGTTTAAATGTGCGCATGGAGAATGGATTAATTCCGAAAAGCCAGTTCTTGATTCTGCCATCTCTGCACAAATAAAAGAATCAGTGGATATGACAAATAAGGAGATTGAAATCTGCAAATCGATTAGGGCTGAGATGCGTTTTGCTGTCAGTGATCTTTTGAAGGTAAGGAGTCCTCTCTGATTCTTTTGTTGTCGGGATACATTCCGAGTTTAACAATTGTTTCCTGTTTAAGTTCAGAAAAGCAATTTTTCTTGCATATTATTTCAATTCTTAAGAAAGTAACTTATCTCGTATGTAATTTCAATTCAACTTTTTAATATCCTTTCTAGAATGCAGTTAAAAGACGGTTGTGCCAAGCATATTAATATATTATTATTCCTTGATCATCTAAGTTTCAACTAAGCTTTAACTATAGACCAGGTCTATATTCTGTTTTTACATAAAATTTGTGATTGTCTTCTTACCCCTTATTTTATGATTCACTGCTATGTATGTTGGCTCTTATCTTTAATTATTATACTATATTTTCTACTTTTTTACTCTAGGTAGATAGCATACATGTAACAGTGTGCATCTGCGCTGTTCTTATTTTTATTGTTTTTTATTGGACTATTTTATTTGAGGGTGGTGGTTCTATATTTATTGTGCTAGGATGATGGAATTCTGGTGATTCCTACCACTGCTTATCCTCCTCCGAAACTTGGTAGCAAGGAAATCTTCTCAGATGACTACAAGAATTGTGTTTTTAGTCTGTTGAGTATTGCTAGCATCTCTGGATGCTGTCAGGTGAAATTCTCTCTTATATTGATGTACAAAAAGCAGAATTAGTTCAAGAATTTTTTTAAAAAATAAATAAATAAAATTGTGTACTTCATTAATGATTCAGGTCTCACTACCACTTGGATATTATGATAAGTGCCCGGTTTCTGTGTCCTTCGTAGCCAGACATGGGGGTGATAGATTTTTACTGGATACAGTACAGACTTTATATTCGTCTCTACAAGAGCATGCTGATACTGTTGATAAGTCTAAATTGACACAAAATACTGTCAAGCAGGAACATTCTGCTGAGGCTGTTAAAGAAAAGGTCAGTGTCATCTTTGCCAAGTTTTCACCCTCTTGTAATTAATCTGGGTTATATCAATAAGTTTAATCTTCGATGTAGAATATATTGGCTGTTAATTCTCGTCATAATTGATTTTTCTTTTGATAATAATTGGAAGACAATTTATTGCTTTTTTTTCCAAATTAATATTATTATGGTATGTATCTAGTATATCTACCAAAACATCATGTTTGTTTTTAAGGTAACGGACATATAAGGTTTTTTTTTGAAATGGCTGATATAGAAGTTGATGTGCCACGAGTCATAGGGATGAAAAGAACCAGGGAGAGGGTAAAGATGATATAATGAGATACTTGAGATTTAAATGTTACGAAGAAACGAAGGAAGGAAGATAGAATTGATGATAATAGTGTTTATGGGCTACTCTTCAAGCTAGATAAACAAACAAAGATTGATTTCGATAAAGATCCAAGAATGATTTATGAATGAAATAGAACCTTTTTTTTTTTCTTTTTTGGTCAAAATCCTCAAGTAATTTGATCATTTGATTTTCTATTTTTGATGTCCTGTATCATTTTCCCATTGTAGAGAAGTGGACTTCAGGTTTTGAAATGGTGAAGCTGAATAATTTTCTAGTAATTCCTATTGAAATTGTCTGATCTGGTAGGATAAAACCAAGCAAATGATTTTCAAGAAGTATAGATATTTTGAATTAGACTGATTAATGGTTGTCTTGTTTGGACCATCAAGATGAAGCATGGTGGCTCCAATGTAAATTGTATCCTTGTTTTCTTCTTGAGGTTTTTTTTTCTTGAGAATGTGTAGATTATGACTCATAAGGCAATTACTTGCGAGGACTATAAAGCGTATGATTGCTTGGAAAATTATTTTTAGCTTTAGGAGATTTGATCACAGTGCTTCCTGTTAACTTTGAAAAGGAACAAAGAATTGTTTGTGCTTTAGTTAAATTGTGTATATATTTACTTATTTGCTTTTTGCCCACTTGTTTAGCTTATTCACTAAGGCTTGGTGTATGTCTATCTGATGTTTGTTAAATGTTTGTCCCCATATTGTTACTTGGACCCTAGTTTATTGGTATAGTATTGTTGGCAATGGTACACAACCTGTTTTGTTTTTCTTCCTGCACATTTTCTCCTCCGTCTTAAATAAATTCGTAACGTTTTAGGGTAACCAAGCATACAAAGATAAACAATGGCAGAAGGCTATTGGGTTTTATACTGAAGCTATCAAGCTTAGTGGCAATAATGCAACATACTATAGCAACAGGGCTGCAGCATATCTAGAACTAGGAAGGTAATATTTTATTCTAAGAATTGACTCCTTCCATTTAGTATTATTATTGGTATTTCAATTTTTTTATTTTTTATTTTTTATTTTTCATTCAGTTTCCTCCAAGCAGAAGCAGATTGTACCAAAGCCATCAACCTAGATAAAAAGGTAATTTCTTTAAAAATAAGTGCTCATATTATTCCTCTTTTTTAGCTTTAGGTTCCTAAGGTTTCATCTGATTACCATTTTAGGGTCTACCCAAGAAATCCGTCATCCAATGGATGCATGGATTTTTATTTTCCTTTATTTTTTAAGAAATAACTTTAAATCCTTAATTTTCTAAATCCTTCAAAATATAATGGTTTTGGTTGTATAATTGTTTTATAATTTACACATGGCATTTTTTATGGATCACCTTTGATTGAATTTTACTACAAAATCATAGTTTCGACCATGACTGTTATCATTGAATGTTGTTTGTTATTCTATTGACTGTATGACAATAAATTGTTCTTCTATTCTACTTATCAGAATATAAAGGCATATTTACGAAGAGGCACTGCTAGGGAGATGCTTGGTTACTATAAGGAGGCAATTGAGGGTAAGATTTTATGTATTAGTATTGGACTCTAGAACGACAGCTTGATGCTTAGTTGTAGCATTGTTTCTATAGAGGACTTTCAATCGTGTTGGATATCTGAAGTAACAATGATGGTACTTTTGGAGTGCAGATTTTAGTCATGCCCTGGTGCTTGAGCCAACCAATAAAAGAGCAGCCCTTTCTGCTGAGAGATTAAGGAAGGTGTTTCAGTAGCTGGTTGGAAGCCAAAAACGAAATTACAATGCAGAATTGATTTTTATTCCAAGTCTTGCAGTTTTCTTAAGGTCTCAAGAGATGCCATCATTTTATGTCGTTAGTAGGTATTATTATTAGTTCAGTTTTGTTCCCTATAATATTACTTGTATTATTGTATAATACTATGCCTTTTGCTCCTACATATTGAATTTTATCGTCGTAGTCAAATTTTTTAGTTGAAACAAGCCTTGTTAAGTTTCATGTTTTTTTTTATCATCAAAGTATATCAAATATTGATCCTATTATTACTACTCTGAGCTTCGCTTGAATTGGTCGTATTTCTAAAATCTCTGTGAAAAAAATGGAGTGTGTTTCTTGGCAACTCAAGTGCCTAGCAGAGATGCACATAAGCCGGATTTTAATCCGATCCGGATCGGATAAAAACCGATCCGGTTTTTTCTCCCAACCCAAAAACCGGATTTTAAAAAACCGGCTCGGATTTTAACCGGTTTAGAGGGTCGGATGGTGTAACCGGTTTCGGTTTGCAAAAAACCGGTTTTTTAAAAAAAACCGGATTTTTTCGGATAAAAAACCGGTTTTTTATCCGGTTTGAAAAAAATCGGTTTTTAATCCGGTAAAAAAACCAGTCGTTCAATTTTTTCTCAAACCGGTTATACTATCCGGTTTTTAAATATCCGATCCGGTTAAAAAAATCGATTTTTTCAAAATCCGGTTTCGGATATTTTTTACCCAAAATCGGATATTCGGATTTTTTGTGCACCTCTAGTGCCTAGTAGTTGATTGCTTTGACTCATGCTGCAATGCATTTTCTTAAGGTTAAAATGGATTAATAAGGTCATGACTCTCGGACTGCAATCCGACACGCCTTGTTCTATCCTTTCTGTTAAAGAATCTAATGTTGTATACTGCAAAATTTACTATTCTTTTTACCTTTCCCCGAAAAATTGGACACCACGTGATAGGACAAGATGGCAAAAGTGATACGAGTGTTTAATTTTCAAACTAACATATTTTTAACATAATTTTACTATCTAACGTATTTTCTACAGTAATCATTTAAAGATCTTAGGATATCTCGGCGTCTTTGGGCTAAAATTTTTATACATGGATTACTCGGGTCTTTAGTTAATTTTTTTGCTTACTGTGCAATTTTGGCGATTTTACAAAAAAAAAGCACATTTTCCTTAAATATTTACGTTTCAGACACCATTTGAAATAATATTCTCGATCTAACACCCTTTACAGAAAGGCGCGGCCTATACACCGCTTTTAAACTTTTTTTCTCTACTATAAATACGCTCTCAACTCGTAAACATTCACATCAATCCTCTCAACTAGAAGAATATCGTCGTTTCAGTACATATATTCAACATCATTGTTTCCGTTAACTTATACAGATTTCCATCCAAACGAAACAGACAACTTTCCATCTTATAACTGTAAAAAAATAAAATATTTAAATAAAATAATAAAAAAGTTAAATAATAAAATAATTAAATAAAATACTAACAAAATATTAAATATAACAAAATATACCTTATAAATAAAATTTGAATGAGGTTTGGTTTTTGAGAGGATTTGGTGTGGTGAAAATAGTTGAGAGTAGGGTATTTATAGGATGGGATGAATGGTGTGAACAGTCAGTTGGGTCGGTGGGATGGAAGGTGCATGTGTCGCGCCTTTCTGCAAAAGATATTAGATCGGGAATATTATCTCAAAGGGTGTCTGAAACGTAAATATTTAAGGATATTTTACGAATCTAGAAAATTTTTAAATATTTTCTATAAAATTATTTCTGCATTAAATTACACAATACAATTATGTCTACCAATTATCACTTGGCACTTTCTGATGCGTTTTGACCCTTTTAAAATCCTATACGTATATTATATTCTAGGATTTTAAAAAATAATTTTGCAGAAAAACCCTAAACCCTAAACCCTAAACCCCAAGAAATAATTAACACCGTCGAGAGATCCCAAAACCTAGTAAAAAACACTCTAGATTAAAAATTAATCGAATGAGTGCATTAGATTAAAAATTAAACATTCCCACATCCTTATCTGGGCACTTTTGTCATATCTCCCCAAAACGATTTAATCCCACCAGTAATTTTGGAGTTTCGTTTTACTCGAATTAAATTATTATATGTTAATCAAATTTGTTTTGACTCGTCCATATTAATTATTTTTAGATAAATTATACCAGACATCATTAAATTTTGTATTAATACAATTAGGTTATGCTCTCACATAAAATGCAATCTAATCAACACTTGCTCAACGAAAATTTTACAAATTTGTTCAAGTTTATTCTGACAATAACTGATTCCTTTATATAAAAATTTAGGTGTTAAAGTTTATTAAGTATATTTTATATAATATCATTTTTTGAAATTTTGAAATTTTATTTCATTACTAAAAATATAATTTACCTGAGTACTAAATAATATGGGTTTAGAATTAGAAAATGTCTAGAATCCAGTTGTGGAAAAGACAATCTGCAAAAGGTGAAGGGCTTCTTTTAACGTTTGCAAAAAGCTTAAAATGTGTCTCCAAAACAGAGTATACCATTGATTGGAAGACACAGTACCTTCCCCACCAAATTGCCTTTATTTTTTTTCTTCTCCCGCAGATGATATAGATATATGGAGCATCAAATACAATACCAAGAAGTTAACCAACCAGAAATTATAAATAAATAAAAAGGCAAAATTTCAAAGCCTGAATTGAAATAAAGCAAATCCCCCTGTAGTTTGCTTTGGGGAGTGCTATTACCACCTCACCCCACTTGCCCCCCTTTGATAACCTCATTAACACATCCAATTCCCTTTGTTTCTTCCTTTCAAGCCTAGCCTAGCCTAGCCACATCCCATTCCTTTTGTTTCTTCCTTCCAAGCCTTCTCTTTCTTCTTCTTCTTTCCCGGCCAAGATGATAATTTTTTTTAGATTTCTACCATGTCATGACAGCTATGGTTCCACGTTACGTGGCCATGACTTTAGCATATGGGTCTTTGAAATAGTGGAAGATATTCAATCCCGACCAGTGTTCCTGCATCAACCGCTTTGTTGCTCTCTTTGCCGTTCCTCTCCTCTCTTTTCACTTCATCGTCTCCAACAATCCCTACGCTATAAACTTTCGCTTCTTAGCTACTGACACTCTCCAAAAGATTATTATTCTTGTATTACTTGCTATTTGGATCAAAGTGAGCAGAAGGGGTTGCTTGGAATGGATCATCACCTTTTTCTTGTTGCGGAATACGGTTATCGGATAGAGTAAAATCGCAACTGATAATTTGAAAAAAATAAAAATGAAGATAAAGAAGACACAAATTTTACGTGAAAAATTCCTAAATAATATAGGGTAAAAACCATACGCAAAGATAGAAGAATTTCACTATGAGAAAATATGAATTACAATTTCTCTCGATCTTTCTCTCTTGATAAAAAGGAGAAAACAACTCTTAAGAAAACTCTCTAAATTTCCTAATATTGGGAGAAAGCTAGAATGATTTGGGATGATTTTGAAACTAAATGAGTTAAGATATTTATAGTTGAAGCTTAAGAACTAATCTTGTAAATACCTCAAATTACAATAACTAAATTTGGTAATTTCCCCTTACCAAAATTTCAACAAAAACAACCCCTTTTGACTAGCCTTCATTCGGTGCCCTTTTTTTGACAAATTTCATTCTTTTTTCAACAATTTCTGCCATGCACTTTCGATACATTATTAAGAATTTTCAACAATCTCCCACTTGAAGATTTGATTAAAACAATCATATCTTCACATCATTCTTTATACCTTGTACCATCATGTTGCTTACGTTTCTGATAGGCTACAAGAGGATCAACACCAGGTAAATTTATCAACATTGATTGCCTTCGTCATGAAATCTGTTATGTTGTTTTTGGTATGGATTTTCTGCATATCTACCTTCCCTTCTTCCACCTTTTCACGAATGAAATGGTACTGAACTCGTACGTGCTTTGTCCTTGAATGAAATGTTGGGTTCCTTGATAGATGCAAGGCGCTTTGACTATCACAAAACAGAGAAACATACTCTTGATTGTGCTCAAGCTCCTCCAATACCATCTTCGACCAAATTGCTTCTTTACTGGCTTGTGTAACTGCTACATATTCTGCCTCTGTTGTGGACGTAGCCACAACTGAATGCAATTTTGAAACCCAGCTTATAGCTCCACCAGCAAATTTAAACACATATCTTGTAGTAGATTTGTTTTTATCCAAATTCCTTGCATAGTCAGAATCAACATGCCCATTGATAAGTAAATGTGATCCTCCGTAACATAATGCAACATTTGAGGTCCCTTTGATGTATCTCAAAATCCTCTTTACTGTATTTCAATGTTCTTTGCATGGATTCGCTATGTACCGACTAACCACTCCCACTGCTTGTGCAATGTCTGGTCTTGTGCATATCATAACGAATATTAAACTTCCCACTGCTAATGCATACGGTACTCGAGACATCTCAACAATATATTCTTCACTGCTAAGACTCATATTGGAGACTAATTTAAAGTTAATAGGAAGATTGATAGAAATTGACTTACAATCTTGCATGTTGAATCGTGACAAGATCTTCTTCAAGTAATTCTTTTGTGAAAGCCAAATCTTCCTATTACTTCTGTCTCGGTGAATTTGCATCCCCAGAATCTTGTTTGCTGATACCAAGTCCTTTATTTCAAATTCCCTAGCCAGTTGTGCCTTCAATTTGTCAATATGATATTTGTTAGGTCATGCAACCAACATGTCATCCACAAACAACAACAATATAACAAAATCGTTATCACCAAACCTCTTGAAATAAGCACAAGGGCCTACATTAAGTATGTTGTATCCAAGGCACATAATGAAGGAATCAAATCTCTTATACCAATACCTCGGCGCCTGCTTTAGACCGTATAGAGATTTGTTCAACCTGCAAACCAAGTTCTTCTTTTCTTTTTCTTCAAAACCTTAAGGCTGGAGCATATAAATCTCTTCTTCAAGATTCTATGAAGAAATTTTTTTTTAACATCTAGATGCTCTAGATGTAAATTCAATGTAGCACACATTGCCAAGACTACTCGAACTGTTGTTAGTCGAACCACAGGAGAAAAGATTTCATTGAAATCAATATCTTCTTTTTGAGTATATCCTTTGACCACTAGTCTTGCACGATACCTC